ATTTTTCAGCCTGGGAAAAGCAGGCTCTGGGCAGAACTTACTGCTGTCTTTCAGTGTAAATAGAGGAAGAGATATTTTTACCAAGGTCTGTAACAACAGAACAAGAGGCAATGGTTTAAAATGAAAAGAGGGTAGATTTAGATGGGACATAAGGGATAAATTGTTTGCAAGGACTGTGGTGGGACACTGGACCAGGTTGTGGAAGTGTTCAAAGTGAAGCTGGATGGGACTTGGAGCAAGGCTTATTCCAGCCCTTCTGCTTCAGAATGCAAAAAAAATGAGGTCTGAAGTATAGCACAGGTCCAGACTCAATCACCTCCTCTCAGCAGTATTTCAAAATTAATTCCATAGTAAGAACACCTCTGCTTACGCTGACAGGCTCTATTTAGGGATATGTGCTTTTGCCTCTATTGGAGTCACCTGTCTGTCCACCTGAGAATCTGTTTGACTTGAAGAATCGGATCTGAGCTGAAGATCTTCTGCCTCCAGTGTAGAAAGCTAAGTGAGCAAGAGAACAGAGACACAGTGGAGAAACGAATCCTCATCAAGACTGCAGCATCACACTACATCTGACTTCAGCCAAAGGTAATGCAATTTATCTGGAACAGAGTTAAGTACCTTATTCTTAGAAGAAGGGACAAAATATTCCTTCAGTTCTGCTCCTGCTGCTGGCAGGATACCTAGAAAAAAGGTAAAAAGCGTGTTGTTACTCTGAGTGCTTGTTTCACTCTGCTTCTCCTCAGCCGTGTCACCCCAGAGAAGTTCACAAAGGTAACCATTTAGTCCCTCTGAAATTACCTTTGCAGTGCTCCACTGCAACAGAGCGCACATCCAAACTGTTGCAAACCGCAGCAGGAAGTGTCAGGTCAGCGGACACTTTCTCTTGACCTTTGGAATCAGTCTGTGTGATTTAAAAGACACATCTGAGAACTGGCACTGGCTCCTGCTCAACCCACTTCCACGCACAACACTTCTGCTTCAGCCAACAGACCTAACGAGCGGGATTGGGAAGGAACAAAACGGGCAAACACAGCCAGCACGTAAGGCATGTCTCTTGAGCAGGGCTTTCAAAAGGGGATGAAGTACCCCTGCCCAATCCAGAGAGAACCTAGGCAGAAGAAATATATCTCCAGACTGTAGGTCATAAGGGAACCATTTGACATTAATGGATCCAGGGAAGCGAGCTATGAGGTGGAAAACAGCAATCATTACAATGCCAGTCTTGTAGGATTTCAGAGGACTGTAAGCAACAGAAAGCTTTACTGCTTTGTTCTAGAAATCCAGCTTGGAGGTCAACTGCAAGAAGACCCAGGACATTAGCTTGACCTCACTTTGTCCCAGCACTAACTGAACAGTTTTTCTGCAGCACTGGCATGTCCAGGTCCAAGGTACAAGTATGTGGCAAAAACAGCAGCAAAGGGAAAGGAGCCTAGAAGCCATTGATCCAGAGGGACCTCACAGCCTCCTCCAGAAGAGGCACCTCAAAAGCCCAGGAAAAGTCATCATCTTCCCAGGAAAAGTCATTGTCTTCCTTTTTCTCTTTTCCTGCTGCTGGCAAGAGCCCTAAAAACAGAGGTAAGAGACCTGTAATTCCGCTGAGTGCTTGTTTCACTCTACTTCTCCTCAGCTGTGTCACCCCAGAGAAGTTCACAAAGGTGACCATTTAGTCCCTCTGAAATTACCTTTGCAGTGCTCCACTCCAACAGAGCACGCATCCAAACTCTTGCCAACTGCAGCAGGAAGTGTCGGGTCAGCAGAAACTTTCCCCTGACCTTTGGAATCAGTCTGTGTGATTTAAAAGACACATCTGAGAACTGGCACTGGCGCCTTCTCAACCCACTTCCACACACAACACTTCTGCTTCAGCCAACAGGCCTAACGAGTGGGATTGGGTTGCAGAAGGAACAAAAGAGGCAAACACAGCCAGCACATTAGGCATCTCTCTTGAGCAGGGCTTTCAAAAGGGGATGAAGTACCCCTGCCCAATCCAGAGAGAACCTAGGCAGGAGAAATACACCTCCAGACTGTAGGTCATTTGACATTAATGGATCTAGGGAAGTGGGCTATTAGGTGGAAAACAGCAATCATTACAATGCCAGTCTTGTAGGATTTCATAGGACTGTAAAGAGCAGGAAGATTTACGCCTTCATTTAGAAATCCAGCTTGGAGGTCAGCTGCAAGGAGACCCAGGACATTAGCTTGACCTCGCTTTGTCCCAGCATTGACTCAACGTTTTGTCTGCAGCACTGGCATGTCCAGGTCCAAGGTGCAAGCATGCGGCAAAAGCAGCAGCAAAGGGAAAGGAGCCTAGAAGCCATTGATCTAGAGGGACCTCACAGCCTCCTCCAGAGTAGGTACCTCAGAATCCCAGGGGGAGTCACTGTCTTCCTTCTGCTCTTCTCTTGCTGCTAACAAGGCCCCTAACAAAAGACAACAGGTGTGTCATTACTCTGAGTGCTTATTTCACTCTGCTTCTCCTCAGTCGTGTCGCCCCAGAGAAGTTCACAAAGGTAACCATTTAGTCCCTCTGAAATTACCTTTGCAGTGCTCCACTGCAACAGAGCGCGCATCCAAACTCTTGCCGACTGCAGCAGGAAGTGTCAAGTTGACCGACACTTTCTCTTGACCTTCGGAATCAGTCTGTGTAATTTAAAAGACACATCTGAGAACTGGTACTGGCTCCTTCTCAACCCACTTCCACGCACAGCACTTCTGCTTTAGCCAACAGGCCTAACGAGCGGGATTGGGTGAGGGAAGGAACAAAATGGGCAAACACAGCCAGCAAGTTAGGCATCTCTCTTGAGCAGGGCTTTCAAAAGGGGATGAAGTACCCCTGCCCAATCCAGAGAGAATGTAGGCAGAAGAAAGAAGTCTCTAGACTGTGAGTCATATGGGAACCAATTGACAGTGACTAGAGTGGAAGATATTTGCGGTATGATAGAAAATCAACAATCTTCACAAAGTCAGTCTTCTAACGGAAACGTTACTGCTTTGTCCTTTTTTAGAAATCCAGCTTGGAGGTCAGCTGCAAGGAGACCCAGCTGAACCTCACTTTGTCCCAGCCCTACAGGAACAGTTTGTATGCAGCACTGTCATGTCAAGGTCTGAGTTACAAGCATTTGGCAAAAGCAGCTGCAGACAGTAGTGATCCCAGAAACCAGTGATTCAGAGGGACCCCACTGCCTCCTCCAGAGAAGGTACCTCAGAATCCCAAGGGGAGTCTTTGTCTTTCCTCTGCTCTTCTCTCACTCCTGTCAAGATACCTAACAAATATGATAAGAATCACATCACTTGGAGTCCTGATTTTCCTCTGCTTTGGCACCTCCCTCAAGACCTGCATCACATTGATGGGTTATCATTCTCCCACAGACCACACTGATTTTTCCTTCTTACCTCCTTGATAGCGAAGAGTCTTACATGATTCTGGCAATGCAGGTGTAGTCAAGAGAGTGTCAGCATTTGTCCCAGAGCAAGAGCTGTTAATTTCTTCTGTGCCTCTGGCAGAACATTGTCCCTTCCTTTCAGAGTACTCATATTCCCCTCCTTCTTTAGCAATACTAAAGATAGAAAGGGAGGAAATGCAATAGGTAAAAATGCCCCCAGACTTTCATGCACTCTCCGCAGGAAGAGCAACAGCCATGCATGTGCCATTCTAACCCTATTCATAGACAACTGCTAAAGCGTCACACACACACAGAACATACTGCAGTCCTAGAGTAGTGGAGACTGAAATCCTCACTACAGGCATGCTCATGCTACAGGTGCCTATTCTATCTGTGGAGTACCTCACCCCTGCTGGCTACTGTGTCATCTGATAAACCCCCTCTCCATTTCAAGGACCAGAGAGATTAACAAGGCCCCTGGCAGGCTGACATCTCCAAAGCCTCTACCTCAGCTGGATGTTATACTAATGTCTCAACATTAAGATGGAGCAATGTCTCCTCAATCCCAGTCCTCACTTTGAAGGGCTTCAGAAATTCCCATGATTTGTCTGAAGACCTGAAGTTCAGAGGGCTCCTAAGTGGGATATTAAGAGGCCAACAAATACTGCACTTGCATTCTGAGACCTGTGTCATCTTCTAACAACCCTGGGTCAGTTGGAGGTCAGGTTTGTTTCATAAGCAGGAATACAAAACAAAAACCCCCAATCAAACAACAAAAGAAATTAAACACATTCGCCAGACCAAGGCTGCTATGCAGAATGGTGCATTAGCACAACAGAAGCCTGGAGGGGAGGAATGAATACCTTGTTTGGTTAGAGCAATCCTCAAACATGCTTTAGTCCTAAAGGGGTTTTTACTCCACAGTTTACCCAGACTCCCTTCTCTCCTGCTTCCCATCAAGACAGGCTAACAGAAGGGGCAGGGGGAGAAGAAATTGCGATCCAGTGACAAGAGTTCACAGGCAGTTGTTTGTGGCTAGGCAAGGCATGCTCATAGGCATAATGCAATTCAGTCACACATCCCTTGGCTACCATCACTAGGATAGAGGGCTTTTCTCCTCAGTCTAGTTAAGCACACATAGCCACCTTAGCCAATGAATGGGCAGAGGTGCAAAGCTATCCACAGGAAGAGGAAAAGCCCTGAAGAGTTTTAATTAGGGGATATCAGTTAGATCCCCTCTGAAACAAAAGGCAGGTAGTTGCTGCTAGGGAGTAGAATGGAACTTGGAAGCACACAGGTAAATTCTCAAAGAGAACTGGGTTTGGTGGGGAGGGGGGATGTTTTCCTCAATTTCCAAATCTACCCTTTACACGGAAAGAGATGCATCAGAAGGTGTCACGTCAGAAGAGCTCAGCGTCGATAAAGCTCTCAGCACCTCATTTAACCCTGCTGCTGTTACCAAAAAGGGCTGTACATCAGCACAGACATTCTGAGAATGCAGTTGCTCTAACAAGGATGTAAAACACTTACAACTCATCTCGAAATAGTTCGTCAAAATCTCGAGCTGAAAACTCTCCGGTGTATCCTTTATTCATAACACCGCCATTGTGAAGAAGAACTTCTACTGTATCCTTATCCTTAAGAACAGCAGCAACTTCCATGGGGGTCCTAGGGCATCCAGGAGATAAGAGTAAATACATCAGCTTTTGCAGGCATTGTGTACCATTACTTTAATCCCTCTTTGCTTCTCAGACAATTCATTTCTCCTCTCCTACTGGCAGAATGAAAGCACAGCCAAACACCTGGAAGTGTTGGAGAATTCAGGTTGGTGGGACCTCAGGAGGGCTCCAGACCAGCCACCCACCCAGAGCAGACTCAGGTTGCGTGTGTGTGCCTGCGCGCGCGCGTGCATGTGGGACCACAGACAATGTTTTCTTGCAGTCCTCAGTGTGGAAATCATCCCCTGAAGTAAGCAAGCAGCGGAGCGCAGGTCTGCTTTCACAAGTCACACTGAAGGAGCTCCTTCTGGGTGGTTCCTGGCCCTTTTTCAAAGCTCATTCTTGTGCCTCCCATCAATCCAACTTGAACAATGTTAAGGAGTCCCACACATGCTTTTACCAAATCCTTCACCTTTCATGATTATCTGTAGCATTCACGTCAGCTCCTTTTTGAAGAAGGAACTCGATCATCCCTTTACAACGCTCAGTGATCGCAAGAGTAAGTGGAGTGTATCCCAGCTGAAAGGAAAAATCATCTCTCTTAGAATAACAGAGAAAAGTCAAGCAAGTTGACTTGGGAAGAGGAGCTTTACCTAAAGTCCAAGCTTACTTCATTCTTAGCATCAATATCTGCACCATGCTCAAGTAACAGCTCCACTAGAGATTTGCTAGACACCAGGACAGCAAAGTGAAGGGCGGTGTTACCAGTAACAGCTCTGTGGTCATGGTTGGCACCATGCTCCAGCAGAATAGCCACACAATCTCTGTGTTGGTGCTGTACTGCCTGGAAACAAGACACGAAGGAGGAATAACTTCCAACATGTACATTTTTCTCTGTCAGAACTCCTGCATCTTCCCAACACTGGAAAGTTCAAGCATCTTCAATGATAAGACAACATATGCCCCTTTCATATACCTGTATCAATGGTGATTTCTTATATTTGCCACGAGGATTTAGCTTGCAATTCTTGCCTACTAGAAACCGAACAACATCTGCATGGCCATTTATGCAAGCAAGATGCAGAGGTGTCCTAGAAATTAAACATACACAATTGTCCTGGTTTAAGTCCAGCTGGCAATAGAGCCCCACGCAGCTACTTGCTGCTACTCTCTCTCCCCACCCCAGTGAAACAGGGAAGAGAATCAAAAGTAAAACCTTTAATAACAATTAAATTAAAAGAGAGTAATAATTAAAACAAAATAAATAAAATAAATAATACTAAGGGATGCTAGATGCTGTCTGTTCCACTGATTGTATCCTTTGTTGCTGCTTAGGCTTGAAAGTACACAAAGTACATCCATCAGAAAACCACCCTGACTTTAGATAATTTTGACAAATTCCACATTTTGCAAAAGGTGGAGGCTTTACTGTTTGTCCTTACTGCTTGTCCGCATTGCGCCTGTTGATGAGGAACTTCTTCAGCCACCAGTGCCGCCGCAGCTGGTCCAGGTCGCCGCGGGCGGCCGTGCTGTGCAGGTTGACCCAGGCCATCTCTCGGGGCTCGGTGGCCTCAGCCTGGCTTCAGCAGACACAGGAGGTGCTCGGCGGACTCTGCCGAGTCCCTGGTGGGGAGGGGAAGCGGGTGTGGGGAGAGGATGGGCACATCCGAGAGGCGAGATCCAAGTGGCAGCTGCGCTTTGCAGCCCCCGACAGTCAAAGCCAGAGAAGAGCTGCTGATCCCGTCGCAGCGGAGTCAGCAATGACGGCCAGGAAGGGTCTGGTGACGGGACAGCAGCCGTGGAGTGTGCAGAGACATCACAGAGGGGGCTTGTGATGCGGCGCCACAGCCGGTTCCGAGAGCGACCCGCTGCTGAGCATGGCTGAGTCCATTGGGGAAGGTGTAGCTGGGATAACATAGTTAGGAAGGGGACAGAAAGAACCCTGAAGACCCCAAGGTCAGTGAAGAAGGAGGGGAAGGAGGTGCTTAGGCAACAGAGCAGAGATTCCCCTACAGCCCGTGGTGCAGATCATGGTGAGACAGCTGTGCCCCTGCAGCCCAGGGAAGTTCATGGTGGAGGAGAGGTCCACCTGCAGCCCCTGGAGGACCCCACGCTGGAGCAGACAGATGCCTGAAAGGAGGCTGTGACCTTGTGGGAGGCTTGTGCTGCAGTGGGCTCCTAGCAGGAGCCTGGAGCAGATTTGCTAGCAGGACTTGTGGCCCCGGTAGGGACCCAGGCTGGAGCTGCAGCCCGTGGGAGGGACTCAGGTTGGAGAAGTTCATGGAGGACTGTCTCCCGTGGGAGGGACCCCACACTGGAGCAGGGGAAGAGCCTGTAGTATCAAAATCACAACATATGAGTCATCTTGAAATTTCCTCTTTCTGAGAAAGTCTGAAGTACATGCTACAATAATCAAGAATGTTAGCCCAGATGAAACAAATAAATAACAGAACTGATGTACAGCTGGTTCCCAGGAGACTGCGTTTTACCCTCGTGTGGACAGTGTTTTGGAGATAATCTGTTCCTGTTTCCTCTAAGGCAGGGGCAGGTTTTGAATAGGAGGCAGGCTGGAAGTCTCCCATGGTTTACCATATCCTAATCCCAGCAATCATTAGTAATTAACTGTATTTCTAACCTCTTCAATCCACTGCTTATTTTATGTTTAATGACTACCTTTGAACACCAGAGTTAGACTCTTTAAGTTCCTTTTAAATAAATCAATAAAGAAGATAAAATTCCTATTGGTTTGGGCAGTCTTTAAAAGAGGTGATTTAGAAAATGAGTTTTCAATGGTTCCATTCAAGCAATTGGCAAGAGCTCAAAAAAATAAGCTCAGCTTCAGTTGAGGCTATAAATGCTTTTGTAGAAACACTAAACAGATTTTCAAGGGAATTCAGCACCCCAAATTCCCAGCCTTTCTGAAAATCTGCCTACTTTCTTGACACTAAAATACCTGCTGAGCACTTCAGAGGCACAAATTCTGAGTCATCTACAACGAGCAAGAGGGGGCTGTTCACTACATATGCATAGCCAGAGGAAACAAACAATTTCCTGAAGAAAAAGCCGTTTTAAGGAATGATTTTGCATTTCCTCCTTCTATTTATTTAGGAAAAAAGGTGGAAGGCAGGTGGAAGAAAACTACAAGGAAAGAAAATAACTCTTCAGGGAAATGCTAATAAGAAACATGTGCATTGATTTTTTTTTCACCTAAAAGGCTGTCGTGTAGACTATAATAATATAAATTAAAGATTTAGTGTCTTGAATAGTTTAATGCCTAAGTGCTAAATCCCATTAGTTTGCTTTTTTTTAAGTTTACACTGCTAACCCTTTCCATGCTTGATTTTCAAATGATATGGTAAAAGTCCATCACAGCCAAATGCAAGGATCCCCACTGAGAGGGGTGGATGAGTCAGGCCACAGGTTTTTTATGAAATAATTCCCTGATAACTCACCATCAAGGAACAATTAACATTCACAAATAATGAGGAGCCAGATTTTTACTACCTAGATAAAAGTCAGAGCCTGCTAAAGCTGGGAAGTATTCTTTTGTGCCTCAAAAGAAGGCATGGGCTTTAGATGCCAGCTTCCCAAAAGCTTGTAAAAGAGACAAGACCATAGTGTCTTTTCCTTCCATGGATTAATCCTTCACCAGTTATACCAGTGGAAGTTGTTCTAGTTGATGTGAAAGAACCACTTGTAGGGATTGTGTCAGCAAGCAGAATGGAGAAACACACCCTACTGCAATGGCTGTCACTTCTGTGTCCCCCAGAGACACCCTGCCTGAGCTGAAGTGTCACCCAAATATAGTCATGTTTCACTGAACACCCTAATTAGTGCTACTATAATTATCCAGATTGTAGGCAATTCCATTCAATCTAGCATTTCGTTCACACAGCCTAGTCTAAAGCACATCTCTGCAAATGCTGTGTTCAATGCTATCCCAGCACGTCATCCAGCCAGCATTCAGAATTAAGCATGCTAGTTTTAATAACAGGTGAAAAACCCAATTACTCCTAATGCCTCCTGATGATTTCTGTGGGTCACATTGTGGTTCCCTACTGCAATTAATTGGCTGGTTGCAGGGAGATTGACACCTGAAACGGCACACGGCATTCCACCTCATGGTTAGCACACTGTTCATTACCATGACTTAAAAGCATTTAGATATGCAAGTAACAAGATATTGCTATCAAAACCTCAGCACAGTCAGTGGTTATTGTGTAAGAACATCTGAGCTCTTCTATTTAGCATGTGGCAAAAAAAAAATCTGCTCACACAATCCTACTATATATAATGTTCCCTGATTTTAACTGTTCATCCCATCACCAGTGTTTGCCAGTGTTCACTGGTGTAGCTCGAAGAAAGCAGGAGGATTTTCTATGAGGGGAGCTCCCAGTCGTCACCTGAGTCTTCTATTGATTACCATTAGATTTTATCCTACTGGTTGAACAAATTATCTGGAATTACTCTATACTTTTAATCAGAGAATTTATTCATTGTTCTCAGAGCATCAGAAGTAACCAATCCTATGAATTTTTGCCCTTTTATCCCTTATAATCCTTCTTCACCTCATTGCAGAAATATGTTTCCTTCTGAAATTTGCACTAAACCCTTCAAGTTCTACGGGGATCATCCACAGAGTACCAAGCTAGTAAGGGCAGCACAGTCAGCCCTGATATTTTTCTTTACTGTAGAAAAAAAAAAGATGACTGCTTAGTTTCTTTCATAACTTGCATACCAGTCGAGTATCTGTTCTTGTGTCTTAGTGCTTGAGTGATTTTATCTGCCTTCTTTATTCAAGTTCTGTCCCATGCTTTTGAATTATCTGACAAGAATAACTGTGCAGGCTGGGATTGCTCCATTCTGGGCCTCCCTGGGATGCACAAGGATTGGGAGATGCTTGCTCTCAGGACATTGCCTGTTGCATATTCCTTCATGCAACTCCTTAGCTGCTAGCTACATCTTGTCTCTTCTAACAGCTTCTATCTGCAAGGGAACTTCGATCACTAATGTTGTTGGTGGGATAAATACTGTTATTGCCTTTTAGCCAGAAACAGTTCGAAGAAGAAAAGCTCACAGAGGTTTGTAGAGACGGAGGTTACAGACCTCCTCAGGGTCAGGTCACAATCTCATAGCACTTCCCTTGCACAAGAAAAAAAACATTTGGAAGAGGAAGTGTCACCACCAGAAGACACTTCTGATTTGGGTCCTAGACAACCCTTTGTCTTTTTCTAAACTCCCTTAAAGAAAACACTCACATAAAGTTAGGATACAAAGTTATTTAGGTAAAACTGGCAGTACTGAGCTGCTGTAGGAGGCCAGAGGAACAGCTGACTGGCTCAAAATAACTAGGTGGGAAAGTGGTGGGGGAACGAACAGGGTGAACTCTGCGTAGGTGGGGCAGTGCACTGCACCCCCCAGCCCTTGAGCCTTCCTGCACTGTGCTGCGTAGTGCATGTACATTTAAAAAGTCAGCCCACAGTCCATGGTAATGGGCCAGTCGATCACCTGGGACTGCTGCAAGGTCCAGAATGGTTCCAGGAACATTCTGGCTCTGTGTAAAGCACAGGCATGTAATTTTGGTGCTGAAATTAGTGTGGGCTTGCCTGGGGAGGGCCTCGGGCGACCAGAATGAATAAAAGGATGGCAACATGTGTGTGCTACATGGAGCACTCTGTTACACTGGATTTAAAAGCTGCTGAGACCATACTGGATCCTACAGTGGTGACTATCTCTCTCCCTCCTTTTTCTTTCTCTTTCCTCTCCTACCTTCTTCTTCTCGAAATATATTGTAAGCCAGGCCAAAAAATCCAGTCAATGTCTTGCTGAGTATCTTGTTCTGTCTGTATGTTTTAAAGTTGGCTAAATGAAATTTTGCCGAGTGCCATATTCTATCTGAATGTCCTAAAGTTTGCAGGTAAAAAGTTGTTTGTTATTGAACCTCCCGAGAATTTTGTTATTTCTCCCATATACTGCCCAGAGAAAATCAAACTACCTTCCCTTAAACCTGCCAAGCGGGCCAGGGCATTACAGCTGCTGAGTTATTAAACATGAAATACTTCTAGGCTTTTCCCTATCCTGTATTTCATCTTGAACTAGAGGTATATACATAAAAGATGTTTGAATTCCTACAGTAAATGTCCATGAAAACACACAGAAGCATGAATTTCAACATTTAGCTACTCCAACTGAAAACTCCTACAGACTGTTGGTTATTCATCCCAAAGACTGCATCCTTACGTGCAGATTTATCTGAAGAACAGAACTCATCGTAAGCCTAAGTCTTTCTTCTCCTTTCCCCTGCACTTCCCTCACCCAAAATCATTAAACAAAAGCTAGGAGAAAAAGACTGTTTGCTCCTACTGCTTCATTAAATCCCTTTGACTGTGGTACCCATTATACTGCTACATATAACTCAGCAGCATTTTCCAGAGGATTAAGTGTGATATTGTCAGCTAAAGTTGACTTTTGAATTGTAGTCTTACCTTTGTTACTGACTTCTTGTGCAGCCCTTACAACTTGCTTGTGACTGGACCTTTATGCTTTGCTTATCAAATTG